AAAGCTATTTGCCGAATCTATTACAAAGGAGAATCAAGGGATTTTAACCACAAATTTCAGCAGAGTGCTTTGAGATGTTCTAAGAAAAACGCTGAAGTACAAACTAATCATTTATCTTGCTTTACTGAAATTTTATGTGTTTGACTTTTCCCAAAGTTCACTAAAAACCCCCCAAGCATTTTCTTAACGACGCACTTGGCAATTAAAGGCCATTTGCCCTTATTTTTAAACTAAAAAATGTGAAGTTTTTCAGCTCTTGAAAATGAAGAACTAATGCTCTGCAATGTCTGTTTTGATGCCATAAATAGCAGAATTCTGGAATGTTTCCACTTTCACGAGTATTTCCACTTATCTGACATTCACGTGTAATCATGTTTAGAACATAAATCTGTGCCAAGTCCAGGTTTATTTTGAGGGCAGCTCATGGTTATACTTTATACAGGAACTAGTGAGCTAGAATACACCCACAAATCTTTAACCCATCACCTGTCTGGATAATATAAAAGAAACTGCATTTACTAACCCACTTTCAAGCATTAAGATAACCTGGTTAGGGGCAGCTGAAAGGAGAAATAATGACATGTATATTGCTCTTTCACTGTGCCATACAGAACTAGGCTAAACAAGAGTCAGAAGTGCAAATAATAATAATTTTCTCTTGATCAGGATAAAAAAAAAAAAAAAAGACTCTCAAAGACCCACATTTACGGAAGCCCCCCCACTTTTTTATCCTCACAAAGAGCACAATTTCTTATTCATTATTACTAAAATGATCCAAACTCTCCCTGAACTTCTTGTTGACGGGCAGAAATTTGTGAACAAAAAACCCCACTGGCCATCTGGCATCATCTGTATCAAAAAGAGTGGAAGATAAAGTCAAACCAGTAAACTCTGGAAAAATGTTTTCTGATTTCTGTTTCTGCAACAAGCAAGGGCAAGTCCTGTGGCTTTGGTCACACTTTCATCCAGATTCTGTCCCAAATCATGCCCCTGAAATCACTACAGAAACTGCTGAAAACTAATCCATGAAGGCATTTAACTCTGGAAACGAACAGACGCATCAATAACTGATCCCAATGTCTCTGCACAATGGCCAAATTTGGCTCCTAAGGTCGATCTCAGTCTGTGTATTTTGATACTAGAACTTCTCATTTCATTTCCATTTATCTGCTCGACCACCTGACCTGAGGAATTTTTTAAAAAACCTATTTCTCTCTCTTCGGGTAAATTATGTTCAAGAGAGAACAAAACAAGGACTAACACCAAATCTCAACGAGTGTCCTATAAATCATCTCTTTCCACCACGGAAAGTCCTACATCCTTCCTGATCCACCCTCTCAGCCTGTCCGTGGATGTGGGAGAGGAAAAAAAGACAAAGAGCCCACAGTGCATTTCTCCTACATTCACACAAATACAGGCTTGCAGCCCGAAAAGCCCTAATGCATATTTTCCATTTTTATATATAAACCAACCAATAAAAGGCTGCACATACCAATTACCTTTTCTCTTCTTGTACATACTGTCAAGCAGTAAACAGAAATAAGCAGCTGCAGTGGCCTTTTTGTTCAGGATGTGTGTATTAACTGATGACTCACCAAATAATTTACAGCCCAGCATGCCAGTTGTCTTCTCCTCCACAGAAAGAAACGGTATTTTAAACAGAAAGTTAACCACTGTGGATCTTGCAGGCAAGCCAGCACACACCAGAACATGATAAATATTGCTGGTGAACCCCAACAGGGCAGAGGAAAGGGGGTGGTTCCAATAGCATACCGCAAGCTTTTCAAAATACTACAATAGGAATAAATAATACATGGGGGGAAAGAGCGGAGGCAGGGAAGAAAGGATTATCACCAAGTCAACCCACACGGCCTTTCGTGGTACACGCTGCCTCCGCACAGCAGGCAAGGCTGAGCTTTGCACTGCGTGAGCAACTTCAGCACACGGCTGAGCTGGTTTTGTAGTGCTCCGTAAGCACATTTGGGGCCGGACTCAATACTTTATTTCAAATGGGGAACAGTACTCTGTGGCACAGAGGCCAAAGATGGTGTGTAGCAGGCTTAGGGATGGCTTGGAGCTGGGACTTGGACTGAAAAGGGTAAGTGTGAGGAAGCAGCTCCCAAATCCTGGCTCTCACTGAACCCCATGTCTGCAGGAGCAGAGCCTGTGCCTCCTGCAAACACACTCAGCAGCACCGGGAGGAATGCAAAGTCTTGTGGTTCTTGCCGGGTGTCCTCCGGAACACTTAATTTCCAATTTGGAAAGCGGGCTGACAGTTCCCCCTTCAGATCACATCCACCATGTAATTAATGAGCTTGACAGTACAACTTTGGCCAAACTTCTGTTACATCCTATCTGATCGGATGCAATCAGAAAGGATTACAATCCAACTAAATTACAGAGAATTAAGGGCAATTGCTCTCTATGCACTCACTACGCTGTTCTTTAGTGCAGCATGACAAACTTCTTTACTAACAGCACAGAATATTCTACTATGACTTAGTATTTGAAGACTGAATCACATTCTATTTTAACTCCATCAAATCTATTTGAGAAATTCTGATTAGTTTCTAATTGCTTTATGAAAAAGAAATTAATAAAATCAGACACAACAGGAATTTTCCAAGAGTTGCAGAAGTGTCATTTAATAAAAACGTGGGTTTTGAATTCTTCCTCATCTCATAATTCTTTAAAAACTACAAAATGAGAAGGAAGGCTCCTTGATCTCAGAATGGACATTACTCCTTTGCTCTCTCAATAACAAAGAAGGTTCAAAGAAAACCCACAGCATTATTTTCCACAGCACCTGCTGCTGATTCCTAGACTCCAAACAGAGAACTAAAGCCTCCCTGAGCATAACCTCCATCAATCTTTGTCAGCCATTACTGACATCCGAATCCAACCTTTGCAACATGGGGTTAAGGCTAATTTTACACAAAGAGTCAGGAGAGCCAATACGTGGCAGAAAACAGACTCCAGCATACAAAAAAGTATTCTCAGTTGTATTTCCTTACTCTTGTGGTACTAATCTATCCCTGGCTCTCAATAAGCCACAGGTTCTTGGGGTTTAGGCTATCACTGTCACATCCACAAATCATAACGCCCTCTACAGCCAGCACTGTTAAGTGAAAGCCCTGCTCTGCTACACAAAAAGGCAAGATAACACAAACCATCCAACCAGCCTTCTACAAGCAAGATTCAGCATGCTCATGACATATCTGGAGTGGCTTAAAGCCCGAGTTGCAGCTATCCCATGTCAATTCAGGATTTTTTAGACCAACAGTGAATGTATGCTTCTAAAAAGCAGTTACAGATCTGCTATGTGAATAGTCTTGGTACATGCACTAAACCTGACAAATCTCAGATGTGAAATTTCTCGTGCACAAAACAGGTAGCTCCTTGGCTCCTGACAGTATGTTCCCATCCAGTGCTTTCCAAGAAAGCAGACACACCGCGCACACACGCACATCTCGTAAGTCTGATATATCTCACACGTTGTGGAACCACTGCAAACATAGCACACTCATAATTCCTCCAAGCTCTACAGAAATGGACAGATACATAGAAGTCCGGTAAAAATATTCATGGTAAGTCTGCCTGGATTGCTGCAGATCCAGAAATCCTGCCAAATTCAAAATATCAGTTTCTACAGATTATTAATAAATAAATAAATAAAGCTGTATGGAAACCCTTGAAAAGGAAAGGTACACAGACTCCTGGAGATAAAGAACTTCGGTCCTTTCACCACTTGCTATTTTGCTGCCATACAGGAATCACTAGAGGACCCTTCAGCTCTAATCCTCCTGCACTAAACCCCAAAATGAAAATTTCCAAAGCAAAATCCAGTTTAAAATTTGAAAGCACATATCGATAACTCTAATCTTAATTGCTGTTTGCGTAAGCTACTATATAAAATCAAATATATATCCATAGGTGTCTAAATCTCTCAGGCAGCACAGTATTACTCTTAAAAACCCCAAGCAAGACAAATCAGTATAGTGAATAGGGAGGTAGTCAGGAATAACTAAAGATGAATTAATGACTGCCACCAGTGAGACCACAGATGCTTAAGGAAATTGTAAAAAATGAAAGTACACAATCTTGTACTAACAAGGAATCAAATAAAAGATCAGTAGGAACTCGCTCAGCTTCTACACTAACAAATTTGTACTTTAAAAAAGAAATTACTTGCTAAACAAGTAACAAATTCTAATACGAAACAACATACTAATTTAGTTCAGACCTACCCTGGGCAATATCCAATAATAGCAAGCTGCTCTTGTTATTGTGGAAGAACAGAAGGAATTTGAACATGTACTTTTATAATGGCCAGAAAGCACATTAAATCCAAATATTTTAAAATTACTACACATTACCTTTGTTATATATTTATTGCCCTACTGCAACACCTTTTCCCTGACACGTGCATCCTCTGAATCTATAGTAGGAAAGAATCCACCACACGCCCAAGGGAAACGAGTTCAAACAAAAGCATGTTTACAAAACACGGCCCAGGAGCGCTGAGATTTTGGCTGGCACCATTCAGCATCCTGCCCAACCCCACCGGGCCGAGGGCCTCTCCTGGGTGTGGCTGCCCGGGCACAGCAGCAGGAAACAATACGGGGGGGAAATCCCTGTCCCTTCCCCTTCGCCACCTCCGCAACGCTTCGCTCCCCCGAGGCCGGCCCGCCGCAGCCCAACACCCCGCTCCTCCCCGTCTGTCCCTCAGAACCGATTTTACGCTTCTCCCTCCCCCAGCCAGGCAGAAGCGGCTCCTTTCAGGTCCCTCCCCAGTGCCTACAA